CTGAAGTGGGATGTGAAGGTTGATGGAAAGGCGGTGGAAATTCTCACTGTCCCTTCACAGTTGCCTCCACTTTTCTCCGGTCACTTCTTGACTGCATTTGGTTTGACTGCTGCAAGTGGTAAGTTGGGTGATTTTGAAATGAAGTTGTTTTAGGGACTGTAAACTCGAGAATACCAGAACTGCAGTATAAAGTAGAGTCTCAGCATATACTCATAACGTAGGAGAATGCAGATGAGGGAAGAGTAAGAGATGTGCAGAACATTTAATTTTGAATAGGGTGAAGCAATAGAATTAACTTGATTAGCACAGAGTTGAAAGAAGTGCTGAATGGAAGAGGATTGAAAGAGATGGCGGTAGGATGTGGGATGAGGTGCCGAAGGTGTTGATTTGTGTTGCATTTTCTAGTAAGAGGCAATTCTGGTAGTCCCAAGGTGGAAGGCACTCTCACTCTGAGTTACAAATTGAATGAGGAAGTTCATACGCAAACCTCGAAGGTGGAGAGTTTGGGAGTGGAGTATGAAAACTTGGGTCTGCATCGACTTGCAGCAAAGGCGCAACTGCTGGAACTGGTGGACATGTACTCGAGTCTTGAGGGGAGGGGTGAGGAAGGTAAGAAGGAGGCTGAAGAAGTTCGTCAGCAAATTGTGGATATCTCAGTCAACGCAAATGTGATTGCACGTTTCACCACATTTGTTGGTGTGGATCCTGATAAACTGGGTAAGTACTTGAGAGTTTTTTTATCATAGCATGATTGTGGTCTCGAAATTAAAAGAGCTCCTTTGTATCCTCTTATTCTGATGTTGCACGTTAGTGATTAGTGAAATAGCGATTTTCTCATAACAGCTATTGATAATTGAATGTGAAAGTGAAGAGATTTGTGCAACAGCTCCTATTTCTCTTTTTAAGTCTCATGGACATAGCGTTCCAAGTGTAGAAATGTTCCTGGTTTTCAAATGGTATAAATGAAGATGAGTTTGGTAGATTAGAACAATAGTTTGGTTTCCTCTATTGTAGAATAATGCGAAGTAAAGGCAGCAAGCCTTAGAAGTCAGTGTAGTTCGTCAATGAAGCCGTAAGTGTAGATTAGGAGGTAGGATAAGCTAGAGGCCTTCATTGGCCAATTGTAGACCACTTGCATTTGCGCAGACCAATTTTGGATAGGTGAGAAGTTAGAAACTGAGTGTGAGCGATTGTCCATAGCAAACCCCTGCTTAGACCACTCTTTTCAACTGTTTCTTGTGGGTGGATGTACTTTCATGATGTAGATTAGGAGGTAGGATAAGCTAGAGGCCTTCATTGGCCAATTGTAGACCACTTGCATTTGCGCAGACCAATTTTGGATAGGTGAGAAGTTAGAAACTGAGTGTGAGCGATTGTCCATAGCAAACCCCTGCTTAGACCACTCTTTTCAACTGTTTCTTGTGGGTGGATGTACTTTCATGATATTCAGATTAGTGCTACATTACAAGCAATATGTATGTGTTTCTTACTGTTGAAAACTTGCCAATAAGGTGTTCTTATTAGTAGTATGCTTACATATTGAGAATTGTAGTTGTGTATTTTTTTTGCTTGTCTTACTACCTAGCCACCTTCGGACAAGGTGGTTAGTGTGGTACCCACATTTAGCAGGTTAGAACAACGTTTGTTTCTCAATTAGACAAATTGTTAACAAGTAATGACCGTGCTAAATTGTTTAGATGCTCTTAATTATTGGGTTGGCAACCGTTTTTGTTGACAGATTCACTCTATACTTTCTTTTGTTTTGTTAACGTGGCCAGAGCATCTAACCTATATTTTTTCTTACTGTATGGGCTTCT